AAAAAAAAAAAAAAAATGACCATTCAACTATTTTTGTCAGCTGGATCAGATGCAAGTAGCGTTGCCAAGTAGAGACTATTACTTGAAGAAGAGCAGCGAGTCTCAACTACACGCGTATCATCGTTATATGACAAACGTTGCTGTATTGATGGGTGCTAATAGACAGACAGCTGTCGAGGAATTCAATCGCGTAATCAATTTGGAGAAACAATTAGCAAATGTACGGCTGAATGAAATATTTAATTTAATCGAGACTAATAATTTTCAGGGAATATAAAATTCATCGATCAATGATTAATGAAAATTTCAGGTGTCGATACCAGAGGATGATAGACACGATACGTCCGCTATTTATCGGAAGTTGACATTGCGCGAGCTGCAGCGTGAAATTCCACAATTGAAGTGGCACGAGTATCTTCAAGAATTCATCAATTCTCCTATAACGGAAGAAGAGCCCATTGTTGCGTACGCCATGCCATATTTCATGCAAATGGGTCGTATCGTAAAAAGAACGGATCGCAGGTAATGGAAAAATACGTTCTCAATTTCTGGAATTTACGATATTCTACAATTTTAATCTTTCAGAAGAAAAATAACAATTTATTGAGTATATATCATTTTTACAGAACGTTGCATAATTATATATTGTGGAGATTGGTCATGTCCATAATGCCTCACATGATAGACGAATATCAGCAAAAGAGAGTCGAATTTCGGAAGATACTGTTGGGTATACTAAGTGAGAGGGATAGATGGTCTCAATGTGTTGAATGGACGAACAAAAAGCTTGGTATGGCCGTGGGTGCACTTTTCATTCGTGACAACTTCAATCATGAAAGCAAGGTGACTTTTATTCATCATTGATTCATTCTTTATATATAAGTCATAATAATTGAATAAAGAGAAATAAATTGATAAATAGGTTTAAAATTGAACGATAATTTATGAATAAAAAATGGACAGCAATTTTTGAAAAAAAAAAATTTATGGAAACTTATTTGTTGGCTTTTGATAATTCTGGAGGACATGATTTATTTTTCAGGAGACGGCACTCGAGATGATTCGCACCATACGAGAGGCGTTTAACGAGTTATTGGCCGAAAATCATTGGATGGATAATGAAACTAGAGCCGTGGCCAAGAACAAAGCTAACTCAATGAATGAAAGAATTGGATATCCTGAATTTTTAAAAGATCCTGTTGAACTTTCCAAGGAATATGTAATGGTACTTAATAATTTCATAAAAGAAAAAAAAAAATTCAAATAATAATAATGATAAGATTCAATAATAATAATTTTTACTTTTTTTTGTTTTTCACTAACAGTTGAACATTACCGAGAATCATTTCCTTGAGAACGTGCTAGCTGTGTTGAGATACGACGCTTATCACAATTTGGAGAAGCTGCGAAAACCGGTTGATAAGGACAAATGGTCAACAGAGCCAGCCGTGGTAAATGCCTTCTACAATCCCAATAAAAACGACATTGGTAAATTTAATCTTGTTTAAATTGAATTGAATTTTAATCTCCTATATTAATATTTTTATTTTATTTTAGTTTTTCCAGCTGGAATTCTTCAGCCACTCTTCTACTCTCAGCATTTTCCAAAATCGTTGAATTATGGTGGAATAGGTGTGGTGATTGGCCATGAGATTACTCACGGTTTTGATGATAAAGGACGTCAGTTTGATAAGGATGGAAACATGATGCAATGGTGGAACAATGCCACTGTGAAAGCTTTCAGGGAAAGGGCTCAATGTATTGTGGATCAATATTCAAGATACAAATTGCAAGAGGTTGATCTGTACATCAATGGAAAAATGACTCAAGGAGAGAATATTGCTGATAATGGAGGACTCAAACAATCATTTCGGGTAATATTATATATTTAATGTTTATAATGAACGATTATCAATCTTACCTTGAGATATATTGTCAATTACGAAATCATTATTGTTTAGGCATACAAGAAATGGGTGTCGATACATGGCGAAGAACCATTACTTCCTGGTGTAAATCTTACTCATGATCAACTGTTTTTTTTGAACTACGCTCAGATATGGTGTGGATCCATGAGACCAGAAGATGCATTGACGAAAATACGAAGCAGCGTTCATTCACCAGGTCCAATAAGAGTTCTGGGTCCTTTATCCAATAGCGAAGACTTTGCCAGGGCCTATGATTGTCCTCTAGGCTCACCGATGAATCCAACTCAAAAGTGTAATGTTTGGTGAGTTCATTTAACTTGTAAAATACTTAAGATACTTAACTGTTTAGATTCTTAAATAATCAATCTAGATTTAAAATGTTTTAATAATATTTATCGATCATTCTTTTGTAATAATTGCAGGTAATAATGCAGAATTCTTTGAAAGAAAAAGAATAAACAAAAAAATATTTGGATACTTGTGATGATATTTAATGTCACAATTATATTTCGTGCCATAAGAAGACTTTAATCATTTTATTGACTAGTGACCACGATGAAAGACCATGAAAGATCAGTATTATTTCATCGTGATTCACTTTGTGGTATGAATATTCTATACATCGTTCAACATATTAACTGAATTTTAAACAAAAGATGATCAGAATCTGTAGGTGTTTATGATCTTATCGATAAATGCATTTTATAGGATGATTTAAATTCAATCTAATATTAATATTTCACTAATTAAAATCGTAGCTATATTTCAAGTGAATTATTTTCTTTATTAATTCCGGTGATTCGATTTGCTGATCGATGTATAGTTGAAGAGAGGATTTTATTTCTGTGTATACATGCGTGTGTATGAAAAAGTGCGCCTGTTAAATAGAAATCGTGGAGAGAAAAAGTTGATCATAGTATCAGCTTAAAATTCCATGGTTAAAAGCTACGTAAGATGTATATAAAAGATATGTTTTAATCATGTAATCCTAATTGTGTGATTCATCTCGTCGAAGACGAGTCTAAAATAAATTTTTCGATCAAATGAAACAAACAAAAATGAAAAAAATATCATATTTATTATTTTTTTCAATTTCCTTCCCCATTTTTTTTATTATAATTGTTAATAATTATAGAATTATTAATCATAGTTGATTAATTAATATTTGTAGTAGATTGAATTTTGTAAAAATTTTATATCAAGTATAGATTCTTGATCGAGTTATTATAAATGTATCTTAAAATCGAATATAGTATAGCAATAAAGTATTCAAAATCTACTTTAGACAGATATATAATCCATTCATATTTTCATAGGTAAATCCAAAGGAAACATGAAATTATAAATCTCAAAAAATTTTTGGAAGAAAGTTTTTATCTTTTCTAAATTATTTAAATTAAAGATTTGTTTTATTAACTAATATATTTTATATTGAAAATCTTTTAAAAAATAGAAAGAACAGAATATAATGAATATAACATAGATTATCTATTAATAATTCACAAAAATGAAAGGAATTTATTAAGAATCGAGTATTTGTTGAAAGATTTATTCTATATTGGAACATATCATCCATACATAGCACGGTCAATACCGAATCGCTTTGTTTCGTGTAAAAAAGGTGGAAATAAAAATAATATACAACAGACAGAGGGCTCTCCCTCTTTCTCTTTCTCTCACTTCCGATCTAATTATGATACTACTCTCAATATCATTTATCTTCTACTTCCCTTATAATTTACAAGAATTCACAAATCGAAATTAGAGATCTGTACATTCTTGTATAATTTAATTTAAAAAAAAAAAAAATTATTTGTCATAACACATGTTGTTAAACGTCTATATAT